CCCCAAAACCCCAAAACCCCAAAACCCCTGAACCTGAAGGTCATATTGAAGTTATGCTAGCTAATAAAGTTAAAATTTGCATCAAAATGAGATACACTCGGTGGCTTAAAACTTTTCCTTGGCTTATTCATCTTAATAGGAGTCTACAGGTAAAATCTGTGCCTTACTATAAGCTTGAATCGATCATTTCCTGGTGTCTCTTCCTCATTAGCTTCTTCCTTGATATGAGAGGAACTTTGGTTGAGGCTGGACTGTTATGAAGGAAAATACCTCGGTGATTCAGCACTATCATTGAACAACACCTGCCTTTTGAAGAACTTCTTAGGAGGTATACTCTTAATTTCATTGCTATACATCTCTAAAGGTGGTGAGATTGGTTACTTTTGACCCTAATTTCAGGAGATTTTTGAGGATCCATCTCCAGGGAATCTGTATCTTCAATGACATACGTGGATCTGAGCTTCATCATTTTGTTAGTTTTCTTAACAATTGCTGGAGTTGACCTTGTGTTCTCCATCTTAATATTCACTCCTTTTGGCTGATTCTTAATTTCAAGAGTTTGACCTGGGTTAGCATACTCTCTGTTATGAACAGTTTCTAAAAATTAACATAAAATCCTGACCTTGGCTTCTTCCTCGATGAAATATTTCAGAAGTCTTTACCACTCGAGGAGAGGGCTGAGGAGACCGCTTTTTCTCCTGTTTAAACTCTATTGAAATCCATGGGTTTCTGACTCCTTTCCTCAGGTTTTCATAAAACCTATGATTCCGTTCTTGCATTTCTTGCAGAGACAGGCCTCCAGAGATCTTCCTAGTTTGTAGTTTCTTTTTAGAGTTGAATTTCTTTATTGTCATATACAGCTTGTCTGGGTCTTGTAGCCTATGCTATTAGAGAATGACTCACCTTGCCCTGATTTTTTCAAGCTTATTTCTGAGCCTTCTTCTGACGCTCTTCGATATCTTTCTTCAGTTTCATAATTGTTTCCTTATTTATCAATATAAATACTACTGCACATGGAGGAAGAGGTAGGCTTCCGAGAAGCTATTGGTGAATTTTACAAACTTACGAGTATTTAGAGACTTCTGTGATACTTTTTCACCACCTATAGGTCTTCCTGGTTTGAGCTAAGCAAATTAGGTTGATTGACCTTACCCTTCCAGCTAAATCTTTGACTCTAGTCGTCCCAATTTTGTGGTTTTCTAGAAAATAGGTCAGATTAGTTGAAATAAATGCACATAAATTAGCCATGGTTGCTCCCAAGGTATCTGTAGCCATCCGCCAATCATTGACCTACCTCTTGCGTTGAAGTTCCTTTCTGTATTTGGTATTAAAAAGTCTCCAGAATTATGATGAGAAATGTGAGCAACCTTGCCCTTCCTTCCAAAATGTTCAGGAGATTTATACCTCTTACTAAAGAAATTGCCATTTAGCTCGTTCATTTCAGTAGAATTTCTATCAGTCCTAAGGGGCTTCCTTAATTTATGCAAAGCCTTAGAGTTATTCAATGAGCTTTCTCCGCTTTTAGTCTTGTACCAGTGAATAACCTTATCTAGAGAAACCTGTTTTCGTCATTAGTGTAGGAAAGGCTCGTCATTAAATGTGTGAGATTGTCATGAATGACCTTATCAAAATCCCTCTTTGGTCTATCAGACTCCTAGGTATGTTACCAACGGTCTTACCTGATTATGATCCATCTGAAAGTTCTTGGAATAATATGTATTCAATATCCCTTTGACATAATCCTTCTTCTGAACGCTTGAGTTATACTGAGGGAGTTCTGCTTCCTGGTCACTGTTAAAAATAATCCCATTGATAGTCCTGACAGCTTCACTAGGATATCTCTTCCTTGTTCTAGTCTTACTCATTATTGTAACAAATTCTATAATTATTTAGAAATCTGGGGTTTTGGGGTTTTGGGGTTTTGGGG